CAAGCGAGTCTCCTGCCTCAGCCTCCCAAGTAGCTGGGACTACAGGCGCCCGCCACAACGCCTGGCCATTTTTTAGTTGCAGCCATCATTGTTGTTTGGCAGGCCCGGGCTGGGGATACGAACCCGCCACCTTAGGTGTATGTGGCTGGCGCCTTAGCCGCTTGAGCCATAGGCGCCGAGCCTAAATATAATTTTTTATGTCACATAAAAATAAGACATCAAATACACAATTTAAACATATTTAAAAATTTCTATTTTAGTATTTTATCTTATAAGTGACTCATTTAATGATTATATTCTTTTTAACTTTACATAACATGACTTTTGGATTTTAAATTACTGAAGAGTTTTGAAACCACAATATAGTCACCATCTATGGTGTCTTTCCTGGGTCTCCTAAGTCTCTAATGACAACCTGGAATCATTTACCAGATGAAAAGGCAGAAAACGGGAAGACTGTGGGCTCAGTTTCTCCTGAAATAGCCAGGTGGCAAAACTTGAACAGGAAAGAAGGGGCCATTTGGCTAGATTGTGTTTTGTAGTTCCTGGTTTAGGCATTGAGCATATGTCCCTAGGCCTCACCGTGGCCACATATCTAGACATCAGAATTAAGAGTCTCAAAATTAATAATATAAGCTCACAGTAAAGTCCAGCAAAATTTAGAAATATTATAGAAGTGGCATTTTTATGACCTCTGAATATCTGAACTTCAGTAACAGCTTTAAAACTAGTTTTATTTATCAAAGATTACCAAAGTCACATGACTGAGTAGACATTTGAGTTCCTTTCTGATTTCCTGATAAAATATTGGCTGTAAGTACTTGCTTTTTTAAAGCCAATTAATTAGAGCTCTTTTGCAATAGTGAAATATCACAGACACATGACATATATGCACAGACAGACATACAGACAGGAAAAGAATTTGTATTTGCCAGCTTTTAAGGTATTTGTAAAATACCTGATTTATTTTAGCAGTTTCCCAGTTATAATTTTAAGTTTTTTCCTATTAACCATTTTTATACCCTGTGAATTATATAACACAGACCCAGGATTAAAATATAGTTCTAACTACTG